ATTTTATTGTCAAGGTCTAGTTTACTTACATTGATTAGTTCTTTTAAGTAATAGAAATGTTTCCATAGTAATCTCTCTCTCTCTCCTTATATATATGGAGTAATAGTTGAATGATTGAGTTTCTATTTTATAGATGTGTTCGTGTTCATTCGATGCTTTGGGACTTTATTTCTCGCTTTATATTTATGTCAGTTGTTTATGTAAAATATTTCTCAATTATCTGTTCACCTACCTAGTTAATCATAATCTGTAAATTACTAATATACTGAATTCCCTACTCTACAATTGTGTACAAGTGTTCAAACAATGATCGTTAGCGCTTATTCAATACTGATCGTAATAATAAAAAATCTAAAGCTTCTTGAAGTTCTATTAAATCCGATTGTTTGTTAGATTCTTAGACTGGAATACTGCACAGGTGCACAAGCTGAAGCAGAGTGGAATACAGAGTTTCAACTATGTTCAACCTTGCTGTAAACTTCCAGTGCTATTTATTTCTAATGAACTAAATGTTTAACAATTAAATGTGCTAATTAGAGATTTACACTGAATCATTATTGCGAAGAGTTTGGATTATCCCTTCGTTAGTATTGTCGATTAAATTTTAATCGATCTTTGTCGAGACATATACGTCCTGCGTAGATTGTCTCAATGCGTCCATTTTTTTACAGGTTATACAGCATAGAAGTATTGTGTATAGATCAGTGTAGTCTAGGTCGCGTGCCTCGTCTTATTTAGGACTCATTAGCTGGATATACTTGCACTCTTGTTGATGTTCACTGATATCATTACTAGGAATGGTTTAGATAGAATATTCAGAAAAACAATTTTTTAAATGAATATTTTTTTATTAACGTCATCTTCAACTTGTGCAAATATCAATTCATAGGTTTTGTGTCACTATGATTATCTTAAATGGACAAGAATACGAATGTAGAGTCATTTTTCAGTCAAACATTCTTGATGTTTAGAAACGTGACACATAAGATGCTAATCACGAGACTAAAACCTATAAACCTATTACCATACTACTGTTACGACTACAATGATCTATTACTACAACTCGTCTGGTCACATTAATCAAATGAATTAAGTTTCACATTTAATCTTACATATCTAGGTTAAATAATTTTATCATTTGTCCGTTAAAGTTATAAAATGTCATCCTATGGATCTGTGTAACATATGTTTGGAAATCTTTTTATAGTAAATTTCAAGTATATATAGATACATACGTGCCAGGCAGAGTAAATGAGGAATGTACATGTGATATAAACGCTCAAAGTAGTTAATGTTAAATCAGAGGTAGACTCACTTAGTTATCCTATTTATTTAAGTAAGTTCTGAGATATTTTTATAAATTGCTATCAAGCCTAGATCTCTCATCATTTGAATAAGCATCGAATCTTATTTTCATAGATTACTATAGAACAGTTCACGTATATACGATGTATGCTACTTATGTTGACAGATATACATAGTATGTTGCATCAATCGGAAGTGGAATGCCTGCCAACTGAAGATTGAGAAAATTGGAGAGAACAGGAAGGGAAACAGAGAGCAATTGTAATAACATGATTAAAATAGCCATGAAGCATGTAAAGGACAACTGAAACAATATGTGCAAATAATCTATTTAATTTATGATTTCCATATTTTGCATTAAACTATGAATAGGTTTCCTCCAACTGAGTGTTCATTCATCACACACATAAAATACAGAAAACTTATTGACCTGCTTATCTACCAATAATATATCTTTCTTAGATTGACTTGTAGTGACTAATATAGAAAAGTAACTTGTGGTAATGATTTGTAAGAGTTCGAACCAATCATCATCATCATCGAAAGTTTCTTTGGATTAACTAAAAAGCTGTGTACAAATTACAAATTGCTATGTCAGGATAAATATTAAACAAAAGTGAATTTTTGAAACAGTCCTACATGAAGTTGCTGCTTATAATTTTGTTGTATAATTATTAATTAATTGAACTATTATGTTTTTCTCATCCCGCTACTTTCAAGCTTTTGTTTGACATAAATCATAGCTGTGTGTTTTACCTTTCCGAAATTATTTCTAGTGTATGACAGACCTATCACTCAGTCCTTTTCAACTCGTAAAGTGGTTGTTCCCATATCGTAATTTCTTAATTCGATTGATGTGTGATCAGGATTTTACTCTGTATTATTGTATAAGTGATTCATAAATTCGAACTGTATAATTAGATTTTATCTGCTTTTTGGGTTGTTCTCTATTCTGACAATCGGGTGGTCGAGTCATTTAGTGATAATCAGCGTATAGAATGGTATATTTGTACACAATTCGACATAACATAACCGCATGGATGTACAAACATAGATAATGTAGAACTAATATAAAATATAAATTAATATTCAATTAGATTTAGTCTTTTGATAATGCATGTATATATCAGAACTGTTTAAAATGTGTCGGCATAACCTTGACATATATTAGTTGATTTTATCCCAACAGTTAGTGAAAAATCATTCTTTCTTCAATGGAATTTATAAGCAGTAGTAATGATAGCACTGGCTAATTATCGTTTAACATTTCAAAGCTCAAACAGTCAACTAATATTATAAACTGATGTTTATTAACAATTGTAACTTCTATTTATCACTGGGGAAAAACTGTTTTTAAGCTCAAAGAAATTTAGGTTTCTGTAATGATTAGTGATTAGTAAGCTATTTATCAGAATAAATTTCTGGAATCTACTTTCTCTAATATTATGCTTAAATCGTGAAACGTAACATAAATGTAAAAGGATAATTTCTCATTGAAATTTTGCTAAAACTTACATCTTCGTAATAAGAGTTTTAAGCGTCATGTAGTCTCAATAATTCTTGTATATTATGGTCTGTTCAGTCCTAATACTACTGTTGATGATAATAATTTTATCATTTACTCTTTGATTTCTAATATATATGTGTTTTACAATCCCAAGATTGCTATCGATGAAGCTGTTCAACAAGCTGATAAATTAGTTGATAAAATTGGTACATCACGTGCATTTGTTCGTCCTTCAGGCACAGAAGACACTGTACGTATTTATGCTGAATCGTATACACATGAAGCAACTGATTGGTTATCCGCAACAATCGCTTTAATAACTTATAGATTAGCCGGTGGAATAGGTCCTCAGCCTACACCTCCTAAACCTCTTCATTCCATTTGTAATTGATTCATCGTAATTACTGTGAATTAATGTGCTGATCGGTGCTCTTTCTTTCCTCCTTTTGTTCTGTCTTGATTTATTTAATCATATTTAGTTATTTTGATGTATTTTGTTATTATTTGTGATCTTGTGAAATTATAACTTTCGCCTCTTTACTGTTTTTTTTCCTATGTTCTCCTCTCGATTATATCTGATGGTAATTATTAAGTAGTTAATTTATATAATGTTATGTCATGAAATAATGTGTATTACAATGTGATATAGAATATTTACAATAAATTAATTTCATACAAAACAAATGTTATTAATAATAATGTCTTATTTTTAATTTTGTTTTAGAAAGAGAAGACTATGTGTTAGATGGTTGGAGGTAGTCGACAGGAAACTCTAGGTCTCATACTATTTGACACTCGTCAATGGGTTATACTCATAGTTATGAAAGAAGTGCTCACAACAGATTTTGTCCCATGTCATGTAGCTCCACAGTTAGAGACGCTACCATTAATCTGCCCAGGTCACGACTGACCTGTAGGATTATAATATTTACAACTGATTGAGCAATAAGTAGTGACCAATGTAATATTTATCTAGTTCCTTATAATCCTGACCGGCTCCTGCTATTCAACTTGCAACTTGACAAACATGATATTGGTTACCGCTCAGTTGTCAATCAATTATATGAGACTGTGTGTTTGTGAAAATTTAATTAATAATAGTGATTGCTTCAATTTTCTGAGTTCTAAGTTCTTTACGTATTGATTTAACTTTATTAGTGAAAAATTTTTGTTCATATCATTGTTCTTTTCGCAATCATATTTTTCTGTTATTTTAGGGAACATGATTACAAATATTGTTTGCTTGTGATCTATTCGGTAAATAATATATATATATATATATATATATATATATATATATATATATATATATATATATATATCACGGGTTGTGTTCTTCGCGAATTAATCCCAGCTGGGGTAACATTGAAAAATAGGGAGCACTGGACAGCTATATCCCACTGTGAAACTCCTTAGAATTCCTCACCCGCTTTTCTGTACATGGATAAATATGTGTATATTACGACGGTTTCAATCTCCCTAATTTTCCCACTATGGATGGATTTGGAAACTAGGTTGATGGTAATGGTCCTAGAGACCTGAGAGTATGATCACGGAACTCCAAGAACAACTAATTGAGTTAGGTCTCACACAGTGCTTTGGATGCGATCACGCTAGAATGATATATATATATATATATATATATATATATATATATATATATATATATATGAAGTCTTTATAAATGATTACTTTGTTGAAGAAATGATTTTGTAAATTCTAAAATTTTAATGTAGTGACTAATTGTCAGTTGCTAAAGTTTTGTATTTTAAGATTTTCAAGATTGACAATCTAGTTATTGTACTTTATGTCTATGAAGGTGAAATTAAAGAAATACCACCGTTGAGTCAATCACTATTTACATTTGAGCAACGTGTTACCATAATGTAGTAACTGATAAGTTGACATTTTAAAATGAATTATGCACAAATATTGTTGAGTTATTGTATGATATTTGATTATAAAAGATACAATAATATGTTATATTTAAATAATTTAATCAGTTGTGATGAAAGTCTAAAAACTAATTAGTCGATTGGGTTTATTTTTTAAGATTAATCTTTCATGCACTAGTAATATTTCCTGTAATTTTAAAAACTACGTCAGATTGACTTAATGAAGTTTTTCATTTATTTAGTAAATGTAAATTTTCATTTCGAATTATTTCCATTTCAGATAAAACATTTCAATGCACAATTTTTCCGAAATTTCTCCATTTCTACTCAAAATTCGATCATGTGTTTTTTTACCTCAATGTGGTGGACGTTATTTCCCTTCAGGAACACTTTATCGTCCACATCATGAACGTTTTGATGAGAATTGTGAACGTAAACCACTGCCTCATCCGGAAACTCCAAGGTTTCAAGGTATTGATAAACTCATATATCTGTATTATGATTCAATTTTATTTAGTCTCCGTTAACTGATTTTCTATAGTACTAATGATTAATATGGAAATAACTAGGTCTTACTAAATCAGTCAACTGATGAAGGTGGAAATAGGTAGTAACAGGTAATGTTTGCTGTTCTTTTTTAACTCACGAGTTATGTTACGGTTATTTAGAGTACTGAGGTTTAGTACGGGCCTACATTAATTGCTAATTGAAGAACGATTGAGCTTATTCTGATCCGAATAGTTTATATTACAGATGCGATAGATCAGGAGCTGGTGAACAACATTTCATTAATATTCCATTGTTATATATGAATATAAGAATACCAACGCGAATGCAAGGAAACTTGATATTTAGGCAGATAAATCGAAATAATACAAATCCGTTTATATAGTAGCGAAATCATGACTTTAAACTACACAGAAGATTAGCAAACTATAAGTAGTGACAATCAATCAGAAAAGGCCAAAGGTCACGTGAAAATTTCTACCAAAAAAATACTAGCGGTCGTGGTTACCAGTAAGAATTTAACATTAAAGAAAGTTGGATAACCCCGTGATCTCCGTAGACAATCATAGTCAACAAAGAGCTTGGCACACGTGTGGATCGGCTCAATCTGCCACATCCTATTCTCACGTCGAGATGAAATTACCAAGTTTGGTATTAAAATGTTCGAAGTATCACTGATAACATAAACTATTAGAAATGGAGAATATGATTCGAGAAAGACCATTTCACAGAATAAAAGGTATAAAATAATTTTGAAACTCAAGATCTGAAGGAAAATGAAGAGTGAATGCATCTGCGCCATTGTGACCAATATCGAGCGAGATCGCACAATATCTCCAACTACTAAATAGTACTACTTAAACTTCGATTAATTTTAATTTGGTTATTTATTTTCTGAAGAAGTGACTTACACCAAGTCACGAAACGTCAGAAAATTTAATTTTTCTACTCATTGGGATATTAACCAGTGCTCAATTTATTCGAAATTATCAAATCAAAACTTAGTAATTATACCTACAGTCTCCAAGTACTGACTAGGGGAATCGCGTGGACCCCAGTCAATCTACATCTACCGACATGACTGAGACTAGCAGTCAGTGACTTGAGGCACTGTGTTGATTTCATTAGTGACAACGATTAATAATGGTGCTAATGAAATATCGATTCTTATTTACTTCATAAACATTCCATCGGTTATCATTGTTGAGAACGACGGGAAATGAAAAGTCCAATACAAAAGTATTTTGGGTGCATATATTTCTTTTACCATTGACGTCTCACGGTTGTGCAGCAGGAAAAATATTCTGCTGTTCTTATAGCCGATTGATCACTGAGTGGTGACCGATGTCATGTATATTAAATTCACATTACAACTTGATCTCTAGAATTCAACCAGCAACAAGAAGAACTCGTAAACACGACATTTATCAGTACTTATTAGTCAAAAAATTGTAAATACACCCCAGTCCTACAACAGATCAGTCATCACCCTAATAGCTCAGTGGTATCGTCTGTGACTATGATGCTGAGTGACAGGACATCGAATTAGCCAGGAAGTATCAGTGTCTTCGAAATTACGAGTAGATCTTACTGATAAGTGTCAAATGATACGAAACCTCAGTCCAGGGTTTCCTTTCAAACCGTCTTCAACAGCCTCCCAACAGTTTTGTACAATACATTACTTAAATCATTTATTTTTTCTGTGTCACAACTAGCACTAACTAGGTGAATCTTCTACATACTTAGTGGACTTCATTAGTAATTAGGTCATTACATTTCTCAAGCTGATGAATGAGTTAATTTTTTGGACTATTTTGTTCTGTTGAATTCTTGAAACACTATATATTAACTACGGTCGGCTTAAATCAACCATTCTCATTTTGTCATTAATCGTTTTTTTTTTCTCCAAACAACTCATTCTATCGACTTTTCTTCATTTAAAACCACATATAACTGAATTTGTAACAGTTTTGTATTAGTTCAAGTAGCATCACTTCACAGATCAACTGACAGATAACGAAATAAATGCGAAGATAATAGTCACAAAGAGTTAAAAAAGAAAATAGTGGAAATTCATAAAGACAGCGGATATAATGGATAAAATGTACATTAATTATATTAAAAGGACAGTTAGATAGATTTGTATCATTTTTATGCGTAATACCTTGCCAGATTAGTGCTAACTATATATTTTTATAACTATCAATGTCAATTATTTGATTGATGACATCAAAGGAGTTGATTAATTTGAGAAAGAAAATTGTACCATCAATTGAATTAGACATTTTTAGCTAAAAGCTATATATATATATATATATATATATATATATATATATATATATGAATTATCACTACGCATCAAATATAATAGTTCATACGGTTACTTATATTGGGTTTTTTTTACTGGGGTGGACATTTTTTTATCTTGATATGCATTTAGTTTTTATGACAGAGAATCAGATTTGCCGTAAACTTTAAATGGTATTTTAGGACAAATATCAAGCATAAGTCTTACTGTTATGGCTTTTTAGCATTGTTTCGTTAAACAAGCACACTATTCTTTACGGATTATTGTTCTCATACAAATAAGAATAACATTCTATGGATTGTGTAATAAGTAACCTACCTATTTACATCCGTTATAATCTCTGTGTAGAATAATTATCCATCTAAATGACATACTATAACTCCTGTTTTTTACATGCTTAATTCATTTGTAAATATCTTTCATTTTCAAAGTTTATTTTTAAATCAACATTTATTTTCATTTATAATACTTTGATAATTCATCAAAACCATAGTCCTAACATAAGGACAGCTGAATGGATATGTAACATAGAAACATACTGATCATTACTCAACTTAAAATTTACATGTATATGCACAGAAATTCCATTAATTATTATCCATAATCAGATATGGGTTTTGTGGATATTATAGTAATTTAATAGTTGAATTCATGAGTCAATTGAAGCTAGACCACCAAGAGGTATTTCCTGGAGTTCTAGTGAGAAGCCGTGACCAGTAGAGTTCAACTAGGTTTGTTGTGAAATAGTAACTCACTGAAGACAATGGTGGACGGTGGCGCAACTTCGAAGATTGGTTGAAGTTAGACATTAACGCCGTTGGATGCCGGTTAAGCGCTCGCGCACGAGGCCGATAGGTCTTGGTTTCGAAACTCGCGAGTCCCATGTTAGGACAAAACGGCCGTCCAGTGCTTCCAGGTTTCCCATGGTGGTCTAGCTTCAATTGACTCATGACTCAAGATATACTCTACTTATTATTAACACATATTTCATTTCGGTTACAGTATGTTATCTAATAAATTTCTAGCTTTTATATACTCAAATGAATCTTAACAAGTTTTACACCAATTTTGTTGACGGTAATTTCAATGAAAATTTATCAATGAAATAAAACTGCGATTGTAAATTGAATTAAAATGTCAGGAAATTTAAATCTGTTTATCATGCTTTAAAATGTAAATTTGTTATTCTTTTACCACCAAAATATTCAATAATCCTTTCGTAACATTTTTCTGCATAGAAATTCCTGTAACAGATCCTAGAAGTAAGGCGAAAATTGCCGGTAAAAGACCGATTCATGTAATTTGTGAACCTAACCAAGTTTATTGGTGGTGTTCTTGTGGTCATAGTAAACGTCAACCATTCTGTGATGGACATCATATTCGGATTTTAGGCTCAAATCCAACCTTTAAAATCAATAAGCGAGAATTCAAACCCATTCGTTTAGTTTATGAACAGTAAGTTGATCCTCTTTTTTTACTACTTTTATGACTAACCCACTTCAATGTTAATGCTCTCCTTTTTCGTGCTAAAAAATAATCGATGTCACTTGCATCAGCTGTAACTCTCGAGTACAATATATCAATTGTTAAGTTACTTTGACCACTTTTACACTGAGAATATTTAGCACTGAAATATAAAGAGGGAGGTGAATTAACTAAGTTTGTCTCGAATGTTGTTAAGGATGTGTAGGCTGTTGTCACTCCCCGGTTACTCACACCGTAGAATGATATTTATTGTGGTATTTTAAAAGGAAATTAGATTATTAGTAGAGTGACCCGGAAGAATGACCGCAGAGTCCAAAAAACAGTTACTTGAGGCTCGTCACATAGGTCATTTTGCAAGTATTTCTTGTTGTGTTAGCTTTGTTCTTTAAAGGGACTACCAATGGCTACGGAAATTCTCGGAGTAAGGCGAGGTGTGATATTCTTAATCCCTACATTGTCTAACTCATCCTCCCGTTATGGATAGACCGGATCGCTGCTAACGTTGGTTGACAGAGAGCAACACCTTGCTACCATCATATCAGTACGGTCAATAGTACAACTTCACCCAACTACTGGTTACGATAACCGCGCGGACCCCAACCAAGTAGTATAAATTTACCAACATGGTTCAGACCAGAAGTTAGTGACTTTATGAACTGATGCCACGTTTTGGTTTAGCTGCCCCCTAACTTTCTTCCATCCGTCTCCAACACTAGTTAGCATTGCACGTCGCGGTAATTGGTAGTTAGGCAAGCGTAATACATGGCCCAACCATCTCAGTGTATGAAGATTCACAACCTCATCAACTGATCTACCATCATTCTCTAGTACCCTGCATCTAGTCACACTGTTACTCACCTGGTGATCCCAGCAGATGTGATTCATATGTCTAAGACATCTGTGATCAAACACTAGAAACTTACGAGTATCTTCCACTCTTAATGGCCACGTTTTGCAGCCGTAAAATAGAACAGAACGAACTACTGCGCAGTATACTCTTCCCTTAATTGATAGACAAATATCTCGCCTTCGCCATAGGTGACCTAAGTTGGCAAAAGCCAAACGAGCTTTTCGAATCCATGCAGAGATTTCGTCAGACACTAACCCACTAAGGCTGATCATACTTTCAATATAAGTGAAGTTTTCGATGCGTTCAACTACTAATGTTTTGTTGAAATCTATGGTTTAGTGAATATTCTACTGCTCAAAACTTCTTACCACTAGAATAACCCTTTTTTAAAACTAACAAGAATCAAGGCATTTTTTCTTTACTAGAAATGGTAACAGCTCAATTTATCTATATGTGTAAATATTTACAAGTTATTAGAAAAATTACCGTATGCTTAGAAATGATTTATTCATGAATCAGCGGATTTAGATAAGCATAGTCGTTTTATTTACTACAATGTCTATCCTTCCTTATAATGAATCAGCATGAAATCCATACTCATTATGTAGATGTCAGTATATTATAATTAAGCAATAATTATCCGTTGCAGTAGGTTGAAAAAACAAAGAATATTGTTGTAACATTAGTCAATATAAGTAGATGTTTTCAATTACATCTTCTGTCATAAATCTTTTTTGCCGCGTAGTACAAATACTAATTCTCTAAGTATAGTTTGACATCTGTATTTAGCTCTACGTTGCATAAGTTTGTATGTAGATGACTGATTAGTGACTGATGTAATAAAACTATCAAATGGTTTCCAAGGCTAACAAATATTTTTCGCAAACATTAATTAATTCCAATTTTACTATTAAACCTTTTGGCTACTTGCATAATCTTAGATAACAGAAATTTTAATTCATTTTTGTATTGGTTGTTTTAATCTTCTCATTGATGTTTAGCACTGCAATTGATCAGTTTCTTATTGGCATATGTTCATCCTGTGCCTTCAGTCACAAACATCATCTCTTCTTATAATAAAAAAAATTTGTCTCATAAGTATTGTACACTTATAAATGGATTTATAAAATTGGAATATCTCTTTGAATAAAGTACACCAATCTTATGCTTAAGAGAGTTTTTTAATGGAGCAAGGATCCTTAGTTAACCTAGAACATAACGATATTGTTAGCTAGCACTAATTTTTATCACTAACATCACTGACATGCCTGCTGCATGATTTCCCCTTTTCATGTATTTGAAGTTTGGACTGAAATAATTTCTTTAAAAAATCAGAAATACTTAGTCAATAATGATGCCTTTTAATCAAATCGTAGTAAAATGTCATTGATATATATATCGTTCCTCTCTTTTAATTTTAGACCATCTGAAGTATGGTTTTGTACATGTAAACAGACATCAGAACCACCCTATTGTGATGGAAGCCATAATTGTGAAGAAGTACAGTCTAAAACTAAACACTAATTATTATACTTTTTTTCTATAAAGTTAGCGATTGTATAAAAAATCACTTGTATACACCTTTGTGTAATATAATCTTATGACTATAATATATAAAATTTGGTATAGTCGTATTGACTATGTATGTTTTGTTTATTGTATCATCAACTTGCCTGTCAATTTATGCTATCACCTTAAATAGTCTATATTGACCGTATCCTTAAAACACCAATCAATATATCTTGTGACTGAAACTTAAATGGGTGTTTTTTGTATGTATTAGTCTAAAAAGCGTTCATTCGATCCATCAAGTTGAATTGTGAACATTAGATGGAGTAACGTAACATCCCAGTACACTGTGTTTGATGTTACTTGGCTGGAGATAATATAGTAATCCATTAATCCAGGTGTCATGATATTAGTTACTCATCAGTAATGTGGATATGTATCTCAAGGGGACTGGTGCTCTCTATAAAGTTAAATGATGATTCATCCGGCCGGACAGATATATTGTAGTGAACGAGAACACAAGTTGGGACAATCGAATGTATTTCAATACAAAATTACATAACACCATAGTAAAATCTTAGAACCATACAGTAAATACTTCATCTGCAAAATGTCAATAAATTGTCTCAAACTTGACTGTTCCTTCTGCAAAATGTCAATTAATCGTTTGAGACTTCATTGTTCTTTCGTTTCCACACCAATCATTCTTCGTTCTCGTTCTCTTTGCTTCGATCCTTTTAACCTTCTGCCGCTAGACATTTCACTTTCGATTGATGATACATACTATTTATATCTGTCGACATCAGTAGCACACACCACAATATGACCAATGAGCTGTTTTGACGACGGTCTCCAATTTCAAGGTTAGAAAACTTTTCTTCGGGATTGCAGATACGTATATTAGTGACGAGTACCTAATGTATTTTCATGGCTTCTATTGCTGATCCTCTTCATGCTTGGTAACACAATATTGTTAGTATTAGTTTAAATTATGGCGTAGATCTCGCCTTATAATCTGGATACGAAATTCTGTGCCAACTTTTACACATTAAGGAATTTTTTCAGTTTTGAGTGTTATAGAGATAAAACTGAATCAATCACAAATAGAATAACTAAAGAAATGATGGGTTACTAAAGAAATCTCATATATGCTACTCTGTTTCTAGGTTTCTATGCAGTTAATTCTTATGACATCACTCTGGTGATGATCGAGTTTGATTTAAAATTCTCTAGTTGCTTTCTTCAATTTTTGTCCGATAGTGTAATAGAACTTTTTTTGTCTCCAAGTGCACAGTATGTTTTTGTTTTTGTCTGTGCTATAGACTATGGTTTACAGACACGGCAAATATATCAAACAAGTATTCATCATGTTAAAAATTCATTTGATTAAAGTTGGATTTTATTGAATAAACCCTCAGTTTAATCAACTGAAATATTTACTCATATTGATTTTCCCAAAATGATTTCTACTAAGTCCCAGTGAAGCATAGTTTTCTCAAATATGTGGTAAATAATTAATAACACTAATAATTACAAACTCACATAGAGACACAGCATCTGAAGTACAACCAAGAAATGAACCTGAATACTTTTATGTAAATTCATTCAGAAAATGATATACTCGTAAGCCCATCATAATAACTACAAAGTGCACGATCAGTAAACCTATACTGAACAGATGAGTTGATCAGCCATGCTACTTCAAAATCAAAATAGATAAACCATGATCGATTTTTACTGCTGGGCGAATCATGACTGGTTGCAATAAATTCACCGTAATCAAGTATTATCAGGAAGTTTAACTGTTTAGAAAGACGATACTATGTTTTTATGAGCATAACTTTACAGATAAAACTTGTTAGGCAAACCATATGAAATCGTTTCGGTGAAATTAATGTTGATGTAATAAGTCATTCGAGTCTAATAGTGAGGTCAATAATAATATAACAAAGAAAGGAACGGAAATACAGAATGCGTTTATTTATTTAACTTGTAGGTTTTAGGAATATAAGGCAGAACTCTTCAAAATAGGTCATAATTAAAATATATTTAGATTTGATTATGTGAAATGTTCACCAAATCTCTAATTTTCGTTTCTCATGGTCATCTGTTTTCAAATTCACTAAGAACTGGCCATGTCATTTTAACATTCGTTTGGGGTCGTCATTATGTCGTAAGATGTACAAGAGGAAAAACGTACGCAACTGGTTAATTAGAGTTGACAGTGATAAAATCTGCATAGCAATCTGAAAATAAAATTCTATCGTTTTTTGTCTTGAGGAAATAAGGAATATTTAAGCAAACAATTGTTCTCAATAACTTCATCTACAGTTGTTAACCCATAATTATTATTTTACGATGATGATATGACACTAATTAGGTCAGCATTTTTTTATTGGTTTGTTATGAAATTCGGCAAGGGTGATAGGTGCTAACGTCGTTCAGTGTGACTATTGTATACCCTGTATTCATTCAGGTGAACTGTGTTCAGTGTTTTTTACAGTAATCCTATGTATTTCCATTTATGTGTGCTAATATAAAATCTAATACATAAATGATTATATTGTGACCTAAGAATTATATAATTTACAGGGAGTCGATAAGTCTTCGTTGAACCAGTTTTTCGTGTTCTCTTTTTGGGTACTGGTAATTTTAATGATTCTCGGCTTCAAAGTATAATCAGTAGAATCGAGGCATTTCAGTGATTCCCGATTGTCAAGTAAAAGCAGTTAAACTGTGGGCCCAATAGAGTCCATTCGGACATAACAGTGACGGCTTCCCAACTATACAACTAGTGCTCCGAATATAACACAGTTGACTATCCAGTTAAAAAATATAGCATATATAAATCGGTGAATGACAGTTATCTGTTAAGATGGGGGACCTTCGCATCAGTTACGGCTTAGATATATTGAAAATATGTAATTTGAAAATCCATTTAATAAAGAGGTAGGAAAATTCATTGTACAACCAATTTAATAAAGTACATTCTGTGAGTAGGATGCATAATTGGAGAAATATTATATCGGGTTATTCGAGGTTATAATAATATAGTATAGTATAATATCTAATAGGATGTCTTCAGGATAAATATAAAATAATAAGAAACTGGTGTGGAGTGCTAAAGATAAATGCAAGATTTAAAAATGGAACAGGAGAGAAGTAGACACAAAAGGATATTCAGAGTAGGAGGTGGCTTACGTACTAATCGATAGTAAAATGGTTAATGAAACTATTGAAACCATAACTCCGAAACTTGGTCAAGTGTAGTTAGACTAAATGGAAGAAATTGTGGAATAACCATTAAAAACGTCAACAGTATTGGATAATATCAATTTTACCAAAGAGATCGAGTCCATCGACCATAAATTGCCATTTTTTGGCGATTTGACTTAAAGGAAATAATGGTTCTTTAGAAACCAATATATTTTAAAACACATCCTGGGAAATATTCAGATTACAATTCAGCAAATGCCCTTTATAAAAACATCACAGCTGCTAAGATTATGGTAAACAAAACTTGGCAACTCGTCATAGAATCTAATGGCGGGATCTGAAATGGATTTGGTTATGTCCACTTTGATGAATAATTATCCTAGGGTCTGTTAAAAGTATAATTTGGAAAGTTAAAAAGATAAGATGAAAGAAAAACCAAAAGAATTAGTTGACATTATAGTAATTCCATATTTCAAATAAACTCCAAAAGGATCTTGAACCAACACAATATAAAATTATTTTTATAAACGAACCATACTCTTAACTCTAAACCAGTAGGAGTCAAAAACAAAAGAAAAATAACAGAATTATGTATGGGAAATCAAATATGACTGTAATGTTGTTCATATGAGTTAGACGTCACATTAGTTGAATGTGATGTTGAAAGAACATAAACTTTGCTTAAAGTGCGTTCCTCAATCCTTAGAAAGCCATTCGGGAATAGCAGTGTATTCAGTAGTGTCTGAACAATCAACTGACTTCAATGGTACAAGTTTCCTTCCAAATGGTCTTGTTTCGTACAAAGAAAGATTGACAACTGAGGTCCTACAGATATAGGTAAACGCAAACAATATATATAGGAGAGATGGAATACAAGTGTCTGCACCATGATGACTAACAATTAATTAATATATCGGGATTTCATCTTACATTTTACTTCTATGAATTTATCGTCTATTAACTAGATGGCAATGTTATAATTTTTTTCTAATTAGTTAACTTGTCTGAATATACGTTGAACAACTAGAATGTTTCATACAACAATACAAGCCTATAGTAAAAGCTTATTTGGTTATTTATCTTTATTTTATGTATTCTGTGACATGTTTGATTGATAACATCTATTAGATTATTTAGTTAAGTCAACAACCCGAATCTGAGGCAACATATGGTAAAATCAGATCTAAATACAAATAGGGTTAGGGGGTTTTAAAAAAAATAAATTTCATATCCCAAGAAACTATTCTCGTTCAAAGCATATTACTCCAAGAATATCATTTAATGCACTGTGATCTCGGAAATGTTTTTAATAAAAAATTTTCATCCCGTTTTGTCCGATTAGTTTTAAAATGGTAATAGTTAGTTATTTATTTCTGAAAATTGATATAATAGGTGGAAAAATTAGAAGCCACATATTAGTCGCAGAACACCTAGCGGATCCTTACAACCGATTAGACGAATGAGATAGTTTGAATAGTGTTATTATATATTTCGTGAAGAAGTACAATGAACACTCAATGTTCGACCCTCATCTATTGTAAGTTCTATTTATAATTTCACTTATAAATTGGGTTACGGAACCATGCATCCAACACCGTTGACGTTATCATCAGCACCTAATTTTTAGACGGAAGCCTCCACTTTCATGGATGTAGCAATACAATTAGTCCGAACAATCGAGGATTTGGATGCCACATTAAGTAATTAATAAGACGATATTGTTTCAATAAACTCAAAATTAAATGACAGAGACAATAACACGGACTAAGATGCCCACGATAAAAGACTGTTTGACATAT